TTTGTGAGTAGACATTATTGGCTGTGAGCTCCACACACCCCACACACAGCCAATCATATTGCTGTAGTATATGTACGTGTACTCACAAATGACTGCATTAGGACGAGAAATTCCTGCGGAGTCTTTACTGTTTATTTGTCTATTTATCTCCACAAACCTCATTAACAATTCAATGACTCAATTCAAAATGAAGCTCATTCATTTTAATTTTAAACTTTTTAAAAATTGAATAAATATGTTATTGGTTAAGCATGACTCTCATGTGTTATTTGTACACTTTATCATACGTTCGCTGAAGTGCTGCAAAAAGTTTGATCAAGAATGGTGGTGCGCCCTATACATTCACTTTTACAATAATATATAGGTACATTAATTAAATCATTTACATTTTTAAGTCACAATTATATTAATATGATCGAGATGACACAGTATGAGCCAATCAATCGTTCAGTAAACTTACGCAAAATTTGGATATATTTACAGTCATAGCTTAAACGTGAACTCGTTTGATTTGAACAATTAATATACTAAATTGTTCATTGTATTGAATACTGTAGAATTATGAAAAAAGTAAACTTGGTTGTTCTTTAAAACATTGCATTTGAAATAATTTATTTTGTTTTAGTTATAATAAAATGAAATTAAGGCAATCATTTGCAATCATTAACACAATTAGGTTTGAAATAAATAAATATAACTGTTATTAAATTAAATATTTACACAAATGTGTTGATAGAAAATATAATTCTTTATAAAACTATAGAAAATACTGTTTTTTATTTGAAAGATTTTAAAAGTTATTTAAACTTAATTTATATTAAAAGTAAAGAAATAATTCATTAAATTTGTTAAATAAATGATTTCACTTTTGATTTCAAATCACTCGTTAGAAAAATATATAATTTAAAAGTTATATAACTCTAGCGTCTGCTTAAGGTTGGCAGCGATGCTCTCATAGAAGAGGATCTGTTGTGTGAGAAAGTGTTGCATCGCGTCCTTAAAGTCGACAATTCTCTCCTCTTGAAAGTGATTGATCTCTGCGAGCGTCGAGAGTGTGACCACATCTGAGCGTTGGTTGATCTGCGCGACCGACTTGTCGTCGATCTTTCCCTCGTCTAACATCTTCTGGTGTTCTTTCTTCTTATTGATGGCTCCCTTATGGACCTGAAGAATATCGGGCCATACGGTCAGCATTCCCTTGTATTCGTGCAGAATGTCAGACATGGGTCCGAAGTCGTACTTCGGTTGTTCCACATATAGTTTGCCGATCGCTTCGTACGTATCGCTCGTGTGTTTGATAGCGTTGTTGAGCCGATCGTTGTTGTGATGGCCGTCGACACCACTGAAGGCGAACGCGTCGGACAGTGTGTGCAAAGAGTGCGCTATTTTGGAGAACTCGCGTTTGTAGGGACCGCCGAACTTCTTGCTCTGATCCTGTGCTGTGATGTACAACAACTTCACTGAATCATCCATTTTGGACACAAAGCGACTGAATTGATCCATTTTGCGATCCACGAGAGCGATGTCCAAACTCTGAGACATCGCCGGCGGTTGAACCGCGAAGAAGAGTGAGGCGCCCACTAACTCGTCCTTTTCGGCCCTCCTTTTGCCTGATTTCCATCTCTTTTCGTCGGCTCCGCACTGAAGGAAATGCTGCCAAACCTCGCTCTGAGAGAGGACTGGATGTCTGCAAATGCGATTCACCCACGACTGGAGTTGTAGTCTTCTGTGTTCAATAAACTCCTCCTGATATCTGCCGGAGATTTGTTTGTCGGGCAGAGCGGGGATCGGGACTGTCGTGAACTTGTCCTGAAGTCTTTCGTGCAACCAATCAAAGTGTTTGTAACGACGGCTCACTTGAATGCCAGTCGAGTCGGGCGTCAATTGATATGCGATATAACTCTTCAATCCTTTCATTTTGCTCTCCTTTTTTGGTTTATCGATAGAAACGTTGGACGGATTGGGATTCGGCGCCCATTGATAAGTACCCACTCTATCGCTCTCAACAATATATATGAAATGTGTTTCATTCACTGTCAGTGTCTTAATGCCTAAGATATAGTCCTCTCCGCCGGACTTCACAAAAGTGGAGAAACGGTTAAAACTCTTGCGAACGGTTTGCTGTTGTGGTTGCGATGGTTTGGGGACTCCGGACACGTGAGTGATGGGTGGCATCTGTGACGAGGGTGTGGTCGCGTTGGACGTATGGGCGGTCGGACTGTAGTCGTAATTGGACTGAGAATTGGAGGCCTGACTGTCGTCGTCGTCGTCCCAATCGTCTTCACCCCAATCGCCGTCTCCGAAGTCATAAGCGGATTGACTGTTAGGCATGGCTTGTGGTGCCGGGGCTTCGGGTTCTGTTGGGGTGACCATAGGCTCGACATAGCCGGCGGGGAAGAGTCCGGTCTGACCCCTTTGATTGGTGCCCTCCCACCAGCCCTCGCCCACGTCCTGGCGGTTCACTGTAAGGACAATCAGTTCACTCATCAATACATTGGACACAAAACACGTGACAATACAATACCCGTCAGTATTTCGTTGGCATTAATACTCAGTTCTCCAGAGTTTGGCTGAGCTTTGAATTCATACAACACTTTCACTCGCATTGCTATCTCTTATACACTATATCTCTCTTTAATTCATTAATTATATATAAACTCTATTTATAACAATCAATGCTTTGTTTAATTAAATAAATAGTAATTAACAAAAAATGTATAAAAATATAATAACAAACAAATTGTGATATCAAATGGATTTCTGTTATTATAAAACTTAATAAAAGGTTAAAACATTAATAATGTCTGCATTGGGTGTCAATTGTTACCCAAATTGAATTAACTATTTTTATATCCATTAGTTTTTGGTACTATATTATAAAAAGTAATTAACATGATAATGTTACTATTATTGTGTAATGAATGTGCATATTGACCATAATGTGTAATGTGGTTAATATAGTTAATAAGTGTTGCAACAAAAAGGATGGCTCAGTGCAGTTGTTGTGCCCCTAATAAATAGTGAAACATATTGTATGACTGATTGCAAGCAGTGGTGAAACTCCCACTTTATTAACACTGCATTGAATTGATTGCTGTTTTATATATGATTTGATTGAATATTTGATTTCCAATCAATAGATAGTGAATAGAAATATATTGATGCAAATGTCAATCAAAGCTAACTTTAAGCACAAACGGTCTCCTTATTTGTCTTATAAATAGGTTATCATAACTTTATAGTGAGATTTTATTAGGCACTGGTCTGCTATAATAGTTAACGTAATGCTAAAACTTTGAGCGCAACAAGTGTTTGGGTAAAGCAATGCATTACACATTAGACTCACTGATTATGAGGTCTAAAACATTCATTTATTTAGCGAATGCATGAATTTACACCAAATTTAGACCAAATTGATTGATTTGTGCCCAATTGTTGCCATTATGTTGGGGTTCACTATAGCGGGAGTACATGTATAGTATAGGTTACGCAATGCGTTGGTCTGTTAATGGGATTGAAGAGAGAGTTGGAAAAGTTTGGGAAAAAGTTTTGAGCAAAAGATCTCTCTATTGGTGGCGTGTATTGAGTGATCTCTGTTAAAGGATATGAAAACCTGTTTTCAGACTGCTTTATGGTTAGTGTAATTAGGATTGAATTCCAGTCTCAGGTGCAGTCAGTCTAATGACCTGTTCTGTAGGGCTAACACTCGTAACACTCCTTAACACAGGTTTAAAACAACGCTATAATACCTGTAGTTATGCCACAGATCGCAGATTAATGTCATTTTCCTATTTATGGTGTCTTTGAAACCGAAAACAAAAGTTTGTTCAAAATTGTTGTCAAACCAATTGTTTGAATGGCATTGTATTTGTAGAGACAATGAGACGTTTGTAACAATTAGTACTCATTAATTAGAACTCAAACATGAAGTGCTTTGGTTTGCAAGAGAAGCGCAACTATCACTGCAAGATTGTTCTGCTCGATGAGACACAACTGATCCAAGAGATTCAAGACACCTCTCGTGGACAGGACGTCCTCGACGTGGTCTTCAAACACTTGAATCTCTTGGAGACGGCATACTTCGGGCTCCGATATATCGATGCCAAGGGTCAGCCGTATTGGCTCGACTCTGGCAAACGTGTCATCAAACAGATGCGAGACATCAATCCAATCACTCTCTACTTTAACGTCAAATTTTATGCCTCAGATCCGTGCAAATTGCTCGAAGAGATCACTAGATATCAGTTCTTCCTGCAGATCAAAGGAGATATACTTCAATCCCGACTTCCCGTACCCTTTGATTTGGGCGCTCAACTGCTCGCATATGTGGTTCAGTCCGAGTTAGGAGACTATGACTATAAGCGCCATCAGAGCGGCTATATATCTGAGTTCAGGCTTTTGCCCAATCAGACCATCGAAGTTGAGTCCAAATGCAATGAATTACATAAGAAACTGATGGGTCAGGTGCCGGCCACCGCCGAAACCAACTTTTTGGATCGAGTCAAATGGCTGGACTTGTATGGGGCAGACCTGCACCCAGTGTTGGGCGAAGACAATGTCGAGTACTTCATTGGTTTGACGCCCAGCGGAGTGATTGTATTGCGGAACAAATCCAAAGTCAGTAATTATTTTTGGACCAGAATTTTGAAGATTATCCGAAAGGGAAAGTATTTTATGCTTAAAGTTGTGGATAATAACAACGAGGAGAAGACATACGGCTTTGAACTGAGTAATAAGGCTGCGAGCAAACAGATCTGGAAGTGCTGTTTACAACACCAGGAGTTCTTCAAATTGACTCAAAACTCATCCCAAACTAAGACAAAACCCGGTTTAAGTCGATTCCGGAGAAACACTCCGCTAAGTAATATGAGTGACAATCTCATGGAAAGAGCGCCGCCAACAGTGGTTAGGGTTGCGAGTCGTCGATATCAGCGACGGATGCGTCAGCCCGACGGCGCCGACGCCACCGCTCTCGATAAGGACGAGGCTTATAAAGAAAATGGTTATATAGAAGTGAAAGCAAGTATTCCGATGCCGACGACCATAAACCGACACAATTCAAGCCCAGCTCTATATAAACCGCATTCACTTCATAGAGACACTCAATCATTGATCGGTAGTCCATATAATACTCACAGCGAAAGGGGTTTGTTCTCAAACTCGACAAACCATTCGCCGCGTTCAGTCAGAAGCGCCTCATATATTGCCACTAACTATGGAATGACACCATTCCTCGACTTCTATGATAATAATTATTCACACGTTCGGCGAAATTCTTCGTCTAATGTATCGAAATCAAGAAATTCGAGATATTCTGATAATGAGAGCGAAGTTAGCAAATGTTCGCGTTCTTCGAGAAATTCACGCCACTCTCAGCATCGATGCAGACATAGGAAACAGTCCGAAGACAGCGGAACAGAATCTGATTCCTCGCGAAAACGTCGACACCGAAGAAAACACAAACATTTGAATGGAAATAATAATTCCTACAAATTAGTCGATTCTGAGTCTCAATGGAAAGATTTACAGAAAAAGCAAAAACAAGTGAACGAAGAAATCGATGGACAATATATGCGACCAAATATGGCTCAAAACGCAGTCGTGCGACACGTTTCCGGTTATATAAACTCGGGTCTCGAGAGCGACACCGAAACTACTCGTAACTCGACGTTAAACCGAAACAAGAAGAAACAGAGGTCGCGATCCAAGTCTCCCGAACACCACCGAAGGGACCGAATTTCCACTGAAATGAAGAAACACTTCGATTATCAATTGGTAGATCCGCTGGCGATGACTGAAAATGAAAAGAAAGACATTAAATACACTAAAATAGAAACCGACAGCCGTTTGTTTAAGATTCGTTATTCGCCTTCCGGTGGTCGACATCGATATAAATTAGAGACCATTCCTACAGAAACGGAAAACTCTTCGCTGAAAAATAAGTGCAAATCAAACGAAGATAATTACGTGACAAATGATGGCACTTATAATGAACTCAATTATAATTCGTTGAATCGCTTTAATGGCAACCGCAAGAGTCAGGACAGCAATACCAGTGCATCGAGTAGTCACGTATCGAATTCGTATAAAATCGAGGGCTCCGACAGCACCGGAAGGTTTGTTTGATTTGCATTTTTTAAATTTTATTTATGAAATATTAATCGTATATTTACTTAAATCTGTTTTTTAAATAGCGGTCAAGTGTTTCGTCCTCTAAATAACAACTATAGTTCTGTCAATAAGAACAATACAAATACTCAAAGCAATCAAATGCATAACAATTATAATCCTAATTATAACTACAATGCATACGATTCCTATAGACCACCCGTTATGACCAGAAGTGCCTCAGAATTCACTCCTTATTCTCATTTTGATTATTATAACGAATTCGATAGAAATAAAAATATCGATTCATTTCCTAATTCATATGATAACAATCAAAGGAATGACAGGTATTTATTTGTAGCCATATTTTGATATATTAATTATTCATTAATTATTAAATGTTAGAATAATGGATGAGAGCTCACATTTAACCCAAAGTTCTGCTCCGAGGGTCACATTTCAAGCGCATCCGACCACTACTTATTTCTCCAATGATGTATGAATGCAATTATAATACATATTTTTTTCTTACATCAATTAATTTTGTCATCTTTTGCAGACTAATCAACGAAACTATAACATTGAAAACACAAACCCTAACAAATCCAATACCAATGCATATCGTGGTAATTATCCGCTCCAACCTCACGAAATGAGTACTGAATTGTGATCGTGTGAACGTCTCGTACTTTTAATCATTTAAATAATATAATTTTTAATTTATATAATATTAATAATTATTTGTCAGAAGGAATTTATATAACATTCAAAATTTTAATTATTAAATTATGTTTTATTTTATTAAAAATTACCATCATTATGCTTTCAAAATTGTGATAAGTAGTGGTCATTACATCGCATAATTACATTGTTTTTATTTTTATACATTCTCTCTCTCTCTCTCTCTCTCTCTCTCTCTCTCTCTCTCTTTCTTTCTTTCTATCTCGTTTCTAAATTAGCTTGTTAGATTTTAAGTACTGGTGATCCTATAATTTAGTGATTTCTAAACTTTGGTTAAATGGGAGAAAAACACTTTTAAAATGCATATTTAATTGCAATGTTTAGCCATCAATACTTATTACCCTATGGTATATGCCCTCTGTATTAGATATTTGTACTTTTGTAATGTAGTGCAACCTCTCGATAGGAATCCCCTCTCCATTTCCCTCCACAGGAAACACTTAAAATATTTTACTAAATTCCTATGGAAAGTTGCATTGTACATTGTACTGTACAATTTGCGTAAATTCCAGCCAAAGTTTAGAGATCACTTGTATCTATAGTTTAATATCTTATTTTTTTATTGCAATAAAAATCATAAACAAATAATAATTATTATCGCTTACAATACAATTATAATACTCTGTTGTTGATTAAACACCAATACTTAAGTTCCAAATAAATAATTATTAATTTTGTTAATATTTTAAGAGATTTTCGTAATTATAAATTTATATAATATTATATTGAATAAAATATTTGCAATAAAAATTACTGCATACGAATTTCTCTGTGCAAACACATTCGCGATTCAGTTTATGAAAAATGAAATGAGTGAATAATAGAAAAACTATTAGGTTAATCTTACCATGTTGTTTTACGTTTACTACTCACAAACCTTATTGTGGCGCTACCTATTTATGCCGCACTATGAATCTGTACCTGGCTTATACTAAAACAACTCACACACAGCGATGCTATACTTTAACCACAATTCGAGTGATGCTCAAAGAATAGATTAGCATTAGTCCCATAGACTCAACATTGGTCATACACTTAGCATTACCCATGTTATCCCATGCCATAGACTTAAGCTGTGATCCCATGTTAAATACCATAGGGTGGGGGCCGGGAGGGGGAGCCGAACCATCCTATAAACCACATTATTCAAATATGAATTATGGTTAAAAAAGTTCGGCATCAATAAAGTGGCGGTAACTTGTATTCGTCAGTATTCTCTATTCACATGTACTTTAGTTCATGTGATGTGCACTGGTTTTTAGTTTTATAAAACTTAATGAATGAAATGTCGAAATAATTATTAAATTGTCGGTTTCATTGATATTATCACAATCTTTTAATATTGTAAAACACATTAAAACATTTATTTAATTTGTTTATTATTATCAAATCATAGCAATTGTAAAAGTTTTATTGCACTCTTATGTTTTAAATGCATTATTGTTCTTAAATAATAAGCAATTACCGTATAATTACTCATTTACAATACTATTGCTCTTATAATTACTTTTTCTTACTCTTGTTAGAAAGTATTAAAAGAATTTTTTCATTTCATGTTTTGAACGGATAGTTAATAAATGTGTTTATTTTGTTAATGTTTTCAACAATGACTGTGAATGAAAGCGAAACAGTTATTAATACTCCAAATCCATTTGTATCCCCGAAACGATCTGTGCCTTCAATATCCTTCAATGTTGTCAATTCATTAACAGTGGGCTCTCCTTCGAGCCCTCCTTCATCGCCGACGTCAGTCTCTCCTCCCGTTTCTATTACTTCATTCCCGAGAAGACGTTCGTCTATATTCCCGGCTTATATTAGACGAAAATCTAAGCGAAAAGATTCAATCTTTGCGTCGGAATCGACGACCAATTTATATCCATTTGAAAATGAGGACAAACTTCCAACACTTAACGGCTATAAAAACTCGACGGCAACCGAATCTAAATTCAAATTTGGTTGGATTAATGGTGTCTATGTATGTCTTACTGTTAACTATTATTTTATATTACAACTATTGAATAAACACTAAAACTTTGTTAAACTGAATTATATAGTTATATTTTGTTAATATAATATGATGTATAATGTTTTTAATTCTATTTAATGATAATATGCTATATTAGGTGCGAACCGTACTAAATATATGGGGAGTAATGTTATTCTTGAGGTAATTTTGTATTTACTATTAACTGTTCTTGATGATTTAAATTTTGTTTTCTTTGTTAAAGGATGGGTTGGATGACAGGTTAATATTACCTCATTATAATTGTTGTCATTATAACTAATTATATTGAATAGTGTTAAATACAATTATATAAGAAACTGTCCTATAGAGAGGAATTATATTTGCAGACATTATTGTAGTGATCATTAGAGAGAATATTACTTTTATAGTTATAGTGAGGGTTTGTCTGGGAACCACTAAAAAGTATAGTTTTTGTATTTATTAAAATTGTGAAAAAAAGTTTAAGTAGAAATTAATATTGATTTTAATACATCTAACAAGTAAGAACTTTAAAATATATGTTATAAAAAACTAAAACTGAACATTATGTTAATTTTTGTTATACAGTAATAGAAATAAAATATTTTAAATATGATTTCTTTAAACGATTGCTAACATCATATAACTTATAGGAAAAGGATTAGTACTCCAACTTTTCTTATGAGAAGCATTACCTGTTAAAGTTGCCTTATGAATTTTACAGTTTAATAGATTATCTCATTATGTTAATAATATAGTTAATAAATATACAATTAAAAAATATATTTGCAAATATTTTATGTATTTCTATATCCGACAAAAATTGTATGACATTTCGAAACAATTTGTTTAATTGACACAATTATCGTAATCAACACACTTAAGGACACGCCGGCATCGGTTTGTATATTGATTATTATTATTATCTTTAATGTTATATACAGTATATCATAAAGTTTTACTTCTTTTATTGTTAATAATATTCATGAATGAATTAGTACAATATATTAGTACAATATTGTAACATAATATTACTCTACAAAATATGTGTAAAATATATAATATAATACTCTTATACTACTAATACTCGTATAGTATAAAATTGATAACAATGAAAACATAAGACATAAAGAAATATAATTTATTTAATATAGATTCAAATAATATTCAACATTTATTCTAACATTTGTTAATTAAAATTACACAATAAATAAAAAGATTGCTATTATTTGTT